CCGGTTTTCACTCTTCATGTCCAGATCTTCCCACATTTCCACACTGCCTAGTGCCTCCTTTCTCAGATCGCTCTCAGATTTCATCTATTTTATGCATAAATCACTAGAGAACAGATTGCTCACTAATTTGTTGGATCAAAGTGAGTAGATGTTGAAATTACCAAAGTTCAAGAAAGTCTGGAAGATTTGTGTGCAATTTCTCTTAAGACTTTAAATGACTATTCCAATTGCCTGTCGAAGCATGTATGCTGCATGTAATAAGGGAAAAAAGGGGGTAACACGCCACGCCCAGCAATATCATGCATCAGTGTGAAAGACATGTCCCACACTGACCCTGACTCAGCCAACATGTTCATGCTTCAAAGTATTGTCAAATGTTGGAAATTATAGTAGAGTCACAAATTCTTATGTACAAGTAATTATATCCAGTAGATCATAATGTCAAGAATTAGTGTAGTATTCAAACAATGGCACTTGTACTAGTTCAAACTTCAATAAACAGTAAGAAAAATATTAGTCTTCTGCTCAAAGTTTGTACCATAGAGGTAGTTATGACTTATATGGATTTAATTTGAGAGAGAGAGAGAGAGTTGTGCGTTATATGAATATACAGATAAATTTACCAAAATTAGGACAAGTATGGCATGTTACCTGTTCCCACAATTTATGAGTCCACATGGGCGTAATTCAACCTTATTCCAATTGTAAAGCTTCACAAAGAGATCATAAGGAAACAGCCCCTGTAAAAAAGATCACTTTAACAATGTCCTATATCTTCATATGTAGGAATCGAGGGTAAATATAACAATGAAAGCTTCATTACAGACCTTGAATCTTCCCATAGCATCACTTCGAGAGTCTAATGAGCTATGCCACATCAAATTAGAATCTCTGAGTGGGTCCAAAATCCTCACTGATATATTTGTGTCAAACCTAGCTTTTTGTGATAGGCAACCACACTGTGAGGAACAAGCATCAACCCCATGAGCTCTGCCAATCTTCACGGACAGCGCATTAGGTACAGGCTTCTTGGTGCTAGAAAAAAACTGGGTTCCAGCAACTTTAGATGTCCGAGAATCAACTTCAATAAATTTCACAGCCTTTGAAATTCTGCTTGTGTCTTCAGTCCTCTTACTTAACACATCAGGTGTCAAAGATTGCAAACTACTATCTCTCATAACATTTGCACTTGGAAAATTCTTTTCAGAGCTTGATGCTGTACGAGCACAATAAGCACTAGATGAGGAGCACTTAGATTCTCTCAAATTTGAACTAGGTTCGGTGGAAATATTCTGAACATCATTACTATTAGAAGTTTTTGAACTAATTAATGGTGGTATTCTAGAGTTCAAAACATATGGATGTGCTTCTTTTGATAGTGGAGCTGCATCTGTTGACTTTTTGGGCACTGATGTAGATGGATGAGGGTCGCCTGCCATATTTCTATTTGCATTAGAACTTAGACCTTCTACAGGTCGAACATTAATTCTAGCTGCAATAGAAAAGCATACAGAAGGGTGACAATTTGGCACTTTAACATCACCACATTGATCAAGTGCGTCGATCTTGGATTTGATTGGGTCAATTGTTCCCTCCCAAAAACCAGAAGAGGGTGTAGAAGATTCAGAAAATGAGTGCTCTTCCGAACCAGAGCCACTCCAACCTGATGAAGTTGAAGATCCACTTTGATTATCTAAATCAATACAGCTAGATTTGAATTCATTAGGTTTAATTGTAGCAACATCATCTGTGAAATCCAACATAATAGGTTCCTCCAAAGATATTGACTTCCTTCTCTCCATGTTAGTACAGGTAGTCTGCCTGTCATATCTAGAAGAGTCATTTGAGTTTTCACCTGAAGGGACAGACGATTCCCACAAAACGGTGGATGGAGAACATTCATCAGGAAGTGAGGTACTTGATGCCATCAAAGTTACATCATTTTGTTTCTCATCGACAGCATTCTGAACTTGAGTACTATCTTTCCCATTAGGTACTTCATGAAGACTCGGTTTTATAAATGTAGATTCTAAGAATGATGAGTCAACAGGTTTGGCAAGATTTTTTCCTTGATTCCCAATAAAATTACCACTACTTTCAACCTCATCTTGCTTAAACTCCTTAAGACAAGATTGGACTCCCACGTCAATGTTTTGATCAGTGATATTACATGGATGGCACTCATCCTTGTGACCTTGTCGCCAATGGATTATTTGACATTTTCCAGAGCTGAAACATTAACAAAATGAGGTGAATAGCTGCAACATGTTTTATCCTCGCGATAAAAGAAAACCACTAATAAGAGCATCATAAAATCAGAATTATTCGTTACCTAATGAGGAAAAGGGGTGACAAAGCTACATGGAAAGGGAAAGAGATCTATTAGAAAAAAATGAAACATCTTGAATACCAACTACCATGTAAATTATTTAAATGAAAGAAGAAAAAAGAAAATAAAATAAACAGCTTTTTGAGCTGGAGAGGGGTGTAAGTCGTGCTCACAACCAAATCCCTTTTCTTGTCCTATACTTTCCTTCCATTCCAACCATTATTTTAAAAAGGGTACTGGTTTGGATTTCATTATAAGTACACTATAATTTAAAAGTCAAAGTCAAACTTCAGTTTAACATACACATTTTGTTCGGGCCAAAATTATCAACTAATCTACCACTCAGTTCTATCATATTATAATTTCAACAGCTTATAACGAAATCCAAACAAGCATATAGTCTAAGGCTTACATCTTGAGACGCAGCTCATGTGACCTCAACTTATTGAGGTATAAACCTCATGGCAACTAAGGTGTCGGCTTATTTGTCTACCTTTCAAGGCATTTTATAACTGGTCTCAGCTTTTGGGATTACTTTTCTATAGCCTGGTACATATTAGAGGTTTCCTATTGTATCTAAAACACATTCAACCTGAAACTATAAAGAAGGAATTGGAAAAGACATGAGAGAAAAAATGAAGCAAGTGAGCCCTAGCCTCCTACAGTTGAAGAACGAAGTGAAGTTGCAACTTTTTCACCAATATGCAACCATGCGACAGACCTAAGACACAAAATTTCACCTCTTATTAAACTTTTCATTATCTCTGTCTGTCCTAGAGGGCAGAAAGAAAACATTGCAAGTGGATCACAAGGAAAAAGAATGAATGGAATTTATAGAGATGAGGATGATAAGGAATCAAATATGCTGATGGTTCTCTTAAAGATCTTAATACTAGTGATGATTGAAGATGTTTAGGCTTTTTTTCTAAATCTAGTAGTCGATTACAACATTTTTATGTGGTTACTTATATGATGAGCATTACTTTTTTATATATTTAATGTTTGGTTACAAAGTAGACAAATTTTGTTAAATTATTATATTATGGATATTAAATGGTTTTTAGTTTATCAGGAGCATAATTCCTATTTTTTATATCTTTGCAGTATTTTGTCAGTACATATATCACACGTTTTGCAGAATACAAAATAAAAGTTCTAAACAGAGAAGGGATTAAAACTTAGTTAAAAGGGGGAAAAAATAGTTCCATATCACCAATTCTTTCCTTTGCATAGATGTGTGGAAGCATGCACCTCAACTTAAAGCTTTGCGCTTAAGCCTAAAGAGGCCTTGCACCTGTACTTTTTATGGATTTGATTACAATTTACATTGACTAGATTTGAACTAGTGAGTGGCAACACATACAGCAATGACAGGGACAAAGCGTAGAAAAATATATTAGTGAATCTTTATCTAACTGCAGTTGTAAAGATAAACAAATAGAATGACGTCCATTTTTGGCCACTATTTACTTTCATCCCCTTTTCTTTCCTCTCTTTTTTTAATACAAGATCATAATTCGAAAAACAACAATGCATTGAGAGCCTTTAATATTATGCACCAACAGCAACTTCCTGAAGGACCATCCCAGTGCCTAGTATTAATACAGGCCCTAAATCAATCAAACTTCGTTCCAACATTATGTTCAATATGAAAAACTTGTATCTATAAGAATTTAAAAGATTGTGACAAAATTTCAAGAAACTTGTAATGAAAGTGTATTAACAAATGGCATTAATCTACACATCAAGCGAGAAAAAAAAAATGTATGCATAAAAAGGTAACTGAAACAAGAGATCAAAGATTTCAGAAAAATTGCGACGTACCAGTAATGAACAGCTTTACACTGCTTGCAGCGCGTTGTAGTTGGGGAAAAGCACACCTCACATTGATACTGGGATTGCCGCACCGGCGATGATCCTGAAACAGATACCGCCGTCTCCTCCTCAGGCTCGGCCGCCACGGGAGAGCTATGGCTATAAACATAGCTGTAACCAGCGGCAGCCTCAAACTCAGCCCTAGCTGCCTCATCGGACGCCAAGGCCAGAAGTCTCCTGATCTCATCCTTCCTGGTTAATGTGTGCTGCCATTTCTGACGGACCACCAACCACCCCACAGGGCCAAACAGAAGCACTAGAGCCGCAGCCACCAGTCTGTACAAAAACCCTAGATCCACTTCCAAAAGCATTTATACAATAATAAAATAAATAATACTAATTCGCATCCAAGAAACCCTAAAGTTTGCAACACTCGTAGATTTCCGCCACAAGCCTTCAGGAATCGAATTGAGCTTTAATTACAGCATTCAAAATTGCAATCAAATCAAATTCCGTCAAACGATTGTTTATCCGGGAAAGCACAGATTACGATATATGCTAGAATCAATATTTATATACATATTAATGCGAGAATAAATATGTATTATTTGTTAATGGAGGGCGTTGCTTCGGGATGCAATAAAGACAATTGAAGAAAAGATTCTAAGCCTTATTTTTCATTACATTAAATTAAATTTTTATCTTTTCTACTTTTAATCACACAATCTTCAATAAAATAATATTAAATTTAAATCAAAAATGGAGTTGAGGAGGCGTTGGCCTAACAATTCCCTCCTTATTTTGGATATTTCTATTTTGCAGGTTAACGAAGACTTGATCCCAAAAATTAATTCTGTTGGAATACCACCCGACTCGAGTATTAATTATCAAATGGTGGATAAAATTCAGCAACAACATCTTTGCTTGGAAATATCATACTTACCAGAGGTCGATTCTGTGATTTTTGAGGAAACAAAGGAATATCGAAGCCCATGGACGGAATTTATTTGTAAGGATTTCATATTCCGTGGGTTGAAGGACAAAGCTGAATTGAAGGAAATAATGCATCATTTGGAGGTGACATTGTTGCAATTGCTTAGGCAGAGTAACACAAGGAAAGCGCAAGGAGATTCATCTAGTGAAATTGTTGTGGGATCATCATTGACTTGCAAAAAGAAACAGTCGAGGTGTACACACTTTGATCCAAGTGAAGGATATTGGGTTTACTTACGAGTGAGGTGAATACGGGTTCAAAGGCAGTCCAAATTACATCCAAGACGAGACGGACAATTTCATGTTCTTGCCATGATCAGAGATAAAGGTTATAATTTGGACAATCAAGCTTCGGATTCGAGGACGAATCATCTCGAAGAGAGAGGAAATGATGTGATTAGGGATACGCCACAAACAACCGGAGAATCAATGATTGTTGGCAAGAGGCCAAGGACCAATTTGGGCTTAATTAAGGACGTTAGAGTTTCCAAGATGTTTGTTCAAGCTTTGGAATTCAAAATGAGGAAATTAACCTGCAATGTAGCGAATTCCATGATTGGCGAGTGGAGACAGTGCGAAGTCCAGTTTGATCACAGCCAATGAAATCATAAAATCAAGCGTCGAGATTATCGAGCTATAAAGGATGATATTTGCAAGCTTAACATCGAGTTACATGTTAGTCATAAAGGTAAAATCATGTTCGGTGCATTGGATTCAAAGTTTTGGACGATATATGGAAAAACGAGTAGTGTAGATTAAAATGGGCATAACTTTTAGCTTGGGTGTTGGATTTTCGCCGATGAGTATAATCTAGAATCCTCACAAAATTCTGCATGAAGAGGAGGCGTATTCAAAAATTAAACCATGCGACCACATAGGCTATTTTCGAGACAAAATTGAAGCTGACTATTTGTTCTATGCGACTGCATTGATTTATACTATACGACCGCATAGTTCAACTTCTGGATGCGATTTTCCAAATTTCGGGAGGTGTTTTATTTATGGTAGAATTCTATTTATTTGACATCTTTGTAATCTTTTAGATTAATTTCCGTCCTTAATTAGTTTTTCTAGGTTTTTCATATAAATAGGAGTTATTATTTCAATTGTAACAAGACATTTCATATGAATAAAAATTGAGGTTTTCTCATGAAGTTTTGTTTCAATTTTCCTTGTTTTTCAATGGAAAAATTATCGAACTTATCAATGGATTAATTTTCTTGTGGCATTCAAAACCATTGGGTGCGAATTACAGCACGTGTAATTAGGGGTTTTACAATCTTTGTTATTGTAGGATTTTTTGGTTCATGGTTTTGGAATTAAAATTCACCATCTGGGTGAGATTTCGAGATTTCGTATCACCATTATTCTTCAAAGTAGTTTGTATCTAACCTTTTTTGTAATCCATTATATTTCACGTCTAAATTTGATGCAGTTTATAGTTTTAAGGGATTTTGCTTGGTGTGCTATAAATTCAATGCAATTATTTAGGAATTGATTTGCAACTTTCTCTCGAGTTCCCAAGTATTGTACTGTGAAGCAAAATATGCTAGAATATTAAAGGATAGGGCTAGGGGTGTTCTTAATGCTTCTTTGAAAGGCCAAACCCCAAGTCAAATCGAATTGGGTCAGTTTGAATGGGGTCGACCTAAGTTTTGAGTTGAGTCCAAAATCGTAGTTGTACTTGTGTGAAGATGTGATTTTAACCACTTTTTTAAAATTGACCCGATCATCGACTCAAAATAAAGGAATGATCAAAAGTCAAAAGGTTGAACTAGGGTTAAACTCAGATCAACTCAATGTTTTAAAAATAATAATAATTAATAATATATATATACACACACACACGTGTTTACATATGTTGAATCAACTAAATTGGGAATGGGTCATGAATTTTACAAAAATCGGCAAGTTTAACTGGTTTTAGGATTTTTTTAATTATAGGTTTTAGAATTACTTAATCGGACTGATTTTGGTTCCAGTTGAATCAATTGGTTCAAATCAATTTTTAAAACATTGATTATAATTGTTGACCATCGATCTCTGGGCTTGATCGGAACGTTGTCAGCCCAGACCCATACGCACCCAACCTCAAGCACATAAGGTCAGCTCGGCATCATTGACACCGTAGTTTCGAGGGATATAATGATTATAGATTCCTTACACCTCGTCAAATCACCTAATCAATCAAGGACACTTGGAGGGAATGACGTCAGCACCGCCCAATTCCACCAATCAACCACCATGGTTTTCCTATTCTAGGCAGGCTATCATTAACTGAGGGAATATTGACCAATCAAAGGAGAGATCGGCGACGCGCTGTCCGAGTTCAGTACTATAGCAGATTTAATTGACATGACATAATTTCAGCTAAAAGCCTCCAATAAATAGCGAGAAACATTTCCCTTTTAAGGCAAGAAGAAAAAGGCCTTCCATACACACACATTGTACGATTTAACTTTTCATAATCAATACAAAGTGTCATTTTTCTTAAAGCTGGCTCAAGAATATCCCTACGATTTTTGGCATCAATAGTTTGGCGCTAGAAGGAGGGCTCATATTGTGAAAATGGCCTCATCTTTCCATAACAACGACAACTAAAGCAAAAGCCATGGGCCGCAGTTCCACTTTAGGAATTCAGTCTCATACTTGCCCAAATGAAACTAATGCCCCACACAATTTTCCAGGAAGACAAGACCAAAATGGGAAGGAAACCAAGTCTGCATGTTCCCACCAGATATCGAGGTGGAATCTCTAACTGAGACAAGGGTTAAAATCCCTTCACTTTTCCAAGGCAGAATCCTCCAAAAGTTGTATCGCTGAAATCAGGAGTCGAGCCCTAGCAACGGAACCAGTTGCCAAGAAGGCCGGCAGTATGTTTGACAGACTAAATTCCCAGCACTCACTAACCCCTGTGGGAGAACATGCTGGACCCAACTTGACATGCTCACTTGAACAATCAGAACTTGAAATGAGTCCACTCAAAAAGTGCATCGCCGACCTGGAAGCTAAAAACAAGGGAAGGACGGAAGAGTAACTTACCAAACGACACTCTCCCTTTACGAAAGATATTATCGCCGAACCCCTCCTTTAGAAATTTACGATACCCCAGATGACTGCATATGAATGGGATGGAGATCCCCTTAGCCACCTGGACAAATACACCTCGTGGATGGAATTACAAGGGGCAAGTGATGCTATCATGTGCTGAGCTTTCCCTTCGACCCTGAGAGATAAAGCTCAAAGATGGTTCAAAAGGTTACACCAAAGGTCCGTGAAAAATTGGAACGACCTAGTTACGACATTCTTAACCCAATTCATGGGCTCTAAGGCCAGAGCTAAGCCCAAAGAGCGACTGGTGAACATCAAGTAAAGGAAAAGTGAATTGTTCGAAAGCGATCTGAGCAGATTCAACAATTAGTCCATGGAGGTTGAAACAATTTTCAATGATGCCGAACTTATGGCTGTACTCTCCAGATTACAGTTAGGACACGATTTTGATGGTCAGTACAAGAAGACGATCCCCGAACGTACCATGAATTCCTGAACCGAGCTAAAAAAATATAAGTGTGGAGGAAGCAACGTCAGAACAAGATGACACCAGGAACGATCCCAAACCCAGAAGCCTGGCTATGGAAAAAAGGTCAGAAAAAATCTCGAGCCCGAAAGGAGGAGATACAGGAGGGAAATGGACCGTCCTAAGACCCATCCATATAGGTTCCACGAATATCATCCGCCAAAAATCACCTTGGAAAAGGTCTTTATTCAAATAGGGGACAAGGACGAAGAAAAAAGGGACTAGCAAGAAACAACTAAGGCAAATATTACTAGTATCAAAGATCGACAGGACATACAGACTACTGTTGAGATCTAAAGGAGGAAGTCGAGTCCTTAATTCGCAGGGTCGCTTGCAAGAATTCATTGCTAAATCAGGAGAAAAAGATCAACCTCTTTCGTAGCAGTCCCATAGCAAGGACTCAGCTAACGACCCAGCAGACCATTCTAGATCGCAACCCACCTTCCAGAGTCGAAATCAGGATGATGATTGGCGAAAATTGTCACATTAAAGGGTTTCAAAGGGCGAGGCACAGACAAGCTCGTGATGTCCGTATCTGGCAAAACTACGAGATAAAAGGCCCAAAGTTTGATTTTGACGCGACGACGAGTCCGAATGGTTCTGGTTTTCAGAAGAGGATTTTCAGGAGATTCTGCAAGATCAAAGCAATGCCTTGGTTATAACTATGCCAGTCCTAGGAGTAAAAGTGCGTAGAACACTTGTAGAAAATGGGAGTTCGGTCAATGTATTGTATTCTCGGACCCTGAGGCATCTAGAGATCTCAGAACGATACCTTCAACCAAATCCTAGAAATCTGCAAGGGTGAGACGGAGACCCCATTAAAACCTGAAGTCAAATTGTCCTCACTGTAGAACTAGGTGAAACTCATCGCCAAAGGAGAATTTTGGTTAACTTCATAGTAGTTGATTTGCTGTCCAATTATAATGCCATATTGGGAAGGCCTATGCTACACGAATTCAAAGTGGCCACATCAATATACCATTATTGTATGAAATTTCATATCGCTTATGGGATCGGGGTAATATGCGGAGACCAGCTGAGGCCTAGGATTGCAATGTTGACTTACATACGCCTCATGTCCATATACTGAGAGACACACAGAATGCGCGAGCCAGGGAGATTAAAGAGACCTATTGTCATCGACCTCTCTAAAATCGGTATAACTGAGAAGCACAGTAGAATGCCAACAGATGACCACCTATCCTTCGACCAAAACGAAGCCGACCCACACCTCTATTTGGAAGTCCTGGTAGTTTCAATACCTGTGGCCAAAGTTACCATCCCCAAGGTCCATTTGACACGAGAAGTGCCCTCAACGTATTCTTCACCAACATGCTCAAATTGATGGGCATACCTGTCCACTTCCTACGACCATATCTGAACAAGGTTCTCGAGCTAAACGGAATCCTAACAATGGCAAGAGGATTGATCAAGCACACAGTTGAAGCTGGGGCAAGCCCTCGACAAGTTAGGCTAAACATCGAGTTTGTAGTGTTCGATTCCTTGTCGCCCTACGATGCCATCATCGGGAAACCCTTGATATTCAGCCTCAGAGCCGTTGTTTTCCTGTATCATTATTCACTAAAATTCTCCATACCTCATGGCATAGGAGGTATAAAAAAGTGAACTTGGTTAAGGATGCCAAACGAAAGCCCATCTTAGATGCCAGAGCGAACGCGTCCCTCCGTGTGTGAGTGTGGTATGTTCATTGAAATTTAACCCCAGCTCACTCAACCCATGTACGAAAATTGAAGGGGAAGAACCCGTGGAAAAGTTAGATAAAATACTAGTTTGTGAAGCCAACTTGTCAAAAGAACTCAAAATAAGACATGAGCTATAGCAACCGACTCAAGGTGAGATAGTGGAGTTCCTCCGACAGAATCTCGACGTCTTTGTCTCAAGCATGAAGACATGAAATGGATTGATCCTGAAGTCGCTAGTCACAGATTATACATAGACCCCTCAATTCGACTGAAGCAGCAGAAACGCCGCCCCCTAAACCTAGAGAAGGATGAGATGCTAAGTAAGGAAGTGCAAAAGCTACTCTACAACGGATTTATACATGAGGCCAAATATCCCAAATGGATTGCTAACTCGAACTTTATAAAGAAAAATAACGAAAATTGGAGAGTATGCATCGACTTCACCAACATCAACAAAGCTTGCCCAAAAGATAATTTTCTCCTGCTAAGGATAGACCAAACGATAGACACCATGGCGGGACACGAGCTACTCAGCTTTATGGACGCGTATTTCGAGTGCGATCAGATCCCTATGTAAACTAAGAGCATACCTCATTCATCACGAACCGAGGTCTATGTTGTTACGGTGTGATGCTATTTGGGCTTTAGAATGCTGGAGCCACGTATCAACGCCTCGTAAACTATATGTTCACCTAGAAAATTGAAAAAACAATGAAAGTATAAGTCAACGATATGTTAGTCAAAATCTCGTTTGCCAAGGACCACTACTAGCACCTCGTCGAGATGTTTTGGATCCTAAGAAAATGCGGAATGAAATTGAACCCCAAGAAATGTGCCTTCGGTGTGAGCTTAAACAAATTCGTAGGCTATATGGTGAATAGCAGGAGGATCGAGCAAATCCCCAAAAAATACAACCAATCATTGAAATGAGGGCACCAACCCGACCCAAGGACGTAAACCTAACCAGAGGATCGTCGCCCTCAATCGATTTGTGTCGAAATCAACAGATCAGTGCAAATCATTCTTTAATACATTGCCAAGAGGAAAGGGGTTCAAATGGACCTCCGAGCACCAAAATGCTTTTGACGAGATAAAGAAGTAACTAACTCGGCCATCGATTTTGTCTAAATCCAAGGTGAGCGATGTCCTGATGTTGTATCTAACTATGTTGGAGCACACGATTAGCACCGTGCTAACTCGAGAAGAGAAAGAATACTGCACATTGTGTACTACACTAGCAAGGTACTCCAGAAGGCAAAACTCCGTTATTCTCCTCTGGAGAAGCTAGCTTATGCCGTGGTTATGGTCAGCGTTCTAAAATGTGTAATGCGTGGTGATGCGTTGATGCCAAGTTAAGGACAATGTGAGATTAGTCGAGGCAAATGCGTAAAAAAACGTTATCAAGCGCTTTCCTATTTTAATATTATTTTAACTTTTTAATCAATAAAAAAATTTAATAATTATAAATTATTTAATAATTATAAGTTTTAATATAAAAGAATTGTATAAAAAAAAGAAAAAAAAACTAATAATGTGCACCTAGGCGCACATTGGCGCCTTAGCCTCGCCTCATGTCAATGCACATATTGGCGCGTTACTTAGAACACTGGTTATGGTAGCTTGGAAGGTAAGGCCATATTTCTTGAAGCACCCCATTGAAATCATTACCAATTTTCCATTGAGTCAAACCTTACAGAAACCTGACATCTCAGGACGAATGGTCAAATGGGCAGTCGAGCTCGAACAATTCAATGTAAGATACAAGCCCTGCTCCTCAATCAAGGGCCAAACCCTCGCTCATTTTATGGCAGAATTTAGCATCAAATCCCTGGTAGGAGCACCACAAGATGTCCCTTGGGATCTTTTCGTAGACGATTCATCCATAGGAGATCGGTCTGGAATTGGTGTCGTCTTAATTAGTCCGAATCGACACCTCTTCTGTGAAGCCCTACCCTTCGACTTCAGAACTTTCAACAATGAGGCCGAATACAAGGCCTTAATAGTTGGAGTAAGGATGGCCAAAGAGCTCGAGATTCCTAGCTTAGTGGTGCATAGCGACTCTCAACTAGTGGTCAACCAGGTTAATGGGATGTATCAGACGAATTGAGAAACGATGGACTACTATCTTCAAATCGTTAGAAAAGAGCTTGAGAATTTCAAGTCCGTTCAGATCAAACAAATTCCGCGATTTCAAAACAGTCATGCCGATGCTCTAGCTCGATTGGCCACAAGCGAGGAGATAGAAGAGTTCGATAGCATCCCTATAAGCAGGATCTCGCAACAAGCCATTAAACTAGCCGAAGTAATAGTTATGGGGATAGACCCCAAGCCAACCTGGCTAGACGAAATCGTTTCGTACTTAAAAATAGGAATGTGCCCTGAAGACATCATTGAGGCTAGGAGGCTTCAGATTAGGGCAGCCAGATATACCCTAATTGATAACAGTCTCTATAAACGAGGGTATTCCACTACCCTATTAAGGTATCTGAATGAGAAAAAAAGCATAGTACACCTTACGAGAAGTGCATGATGGCATGTGTGGAAACCACTCTGGTGGGCAATCATTAGCCCACAAAATATTATGTCAAGGGTACTTCTGGCCTTCAATGAGACGAGATGCGCTCGAGTTTGTAGGAAGGTGCGACAAGTGTCAACGCCTCGCTCCCATCATCAAAGCAACACAGCGCGAGCTTAGTCCAATAATCGTCCCTTGGCCTTTTACAAAATGAGGGATTGATCTGGTTGGACCTCTGCCTACAGGTAAAGGGGGTAAGACTTGCCAATATCGCAGTAGAATATTTCACTAAGTGGGTTGAGGTAGAGCTACTTGCCAAGATCACAAAATAAAGAACGACCGGCTTTATATGGAAATTCATCATATGCAGATTTGGAATACTCCACTCCACCGTAACCGATAATGGGAAACAATTCGACAATGCTCGTCTCACAAGTTTTTGTGAAGTGCTTGATATCAGGAAGTATTTCTCCATGCCTAACCATCCAAGAGCCAACGGCCAGGTTAAGGCTGTCAACAAAATCATCAAACACACATTAAAGGCAAAGCACGATGCCCTCAATGGGGATGGGCTGAGGAGCTCCCAGCATGTTATGGTCCTATTGCACCACAAAGAGAACCAACTCGAGAGAAACCACATTCTCCCTAGCCTTCGGTGTAGAGGTTGTAATCTCGCTAGAAGTTGAGATTTCATCGTTCCGCACAACTACTTACAGTGAAGATGAGAATCAAATGGTCCTTCGCGAGAAACAGGATATAGTAGAAGAAAGAAGAAATAAACTTGAGCTCAGAAACGCCGTCTACAAACAGCGCATTGCAAGGTATTACAATCAAAGGGTTCAGAAGCGAGAATTTGAAGTTGGTTCCCTCATCCTGTGAAAGGTGTTCCACGCCACAAAAGAGGCGGGGCCAAGATCTCTAGACCCCAACTAGGAGAGACCCTATCGGGTGACCAAAACCCTCCTCAAGGGACCCTACGAACTGAAGGATATGGAGGGAAAACCCATTCTCCATCCTTGGAACGTTGAACATCTCATGAAAATATTACCAGTAGGGGAAAGAATGTGTTGTAATATGTAAACGCTCCTATGAAAACTATTATAATCAAGCGAATCCTGCATTTCAAAAATGCCTTCAGCAAGCCGAGCCAAGGTTGCATGTGCTGCAACACTTAGATGGATTTTCCATCAAGGAAATCATCAGAGCCTCACTCTTTAGCAAGCCGAGCTAAGGTTGCATGTACTGCAACACTTTGACGGATTTTCCCATCAAGAAAATCATATGGGATGATAAAGAGTAGGGACCACATCGTCCCTATCCACCTCGATAAGATGGTACTGCCACTTTCCCAGGATGTAAAAAAATTCCTAATTCCATTTCTTGATGGAGGAATGAGTATCCAATACTAGAGAACCCCTAGTCCTAGGTCCCACACTAGTGTACTCCCACCCATAGTCCTTCCTATCCTCTTTGAAAGTAAAAAGAGAATTGAACTGCTCCACAATGAGTTCGGGGTTCCCAACTTGTTCCATAGAATAATGGTGTACCCATTTGGACATAACCGAGTCCGGGCTATTCCCCAGGAACACAAGAACTTATGGATGACCTTAGGAAAGGAAAGTCTAAGCCCGATATTTAAGATGGCCGAGTTCAGCGCCACACAACCAGAAGGTGGGGCATTAGCTCGGTCGGATAGATTAGGTATTACCATCTCCACCGAGCTAGGAATACTATGCCTAGCCCTTCAAATCACCAGAAGATCCCGTGTCACAACAAACCTAAAAAAAGATGCTCCCCACTCATCTACGCCACCCCTTTATCTCCAGCATGGAAACCCGATTCTTCCCTCCCAAATCTCCCCGAATCTCGTTCCATCTCCCTAAGATGCCTTAGGTCACCCGAGCTGACTAAGAAATTGGGATTGGGGTCAAGACCTCCTGAAGAAGAAGAAGAGATGGGAGTACGAGCTATGGACTCTTCCTGTTGGTTATCCCATGAGTGCACTCTTTACTCGTCCAAACTCATGCACGTATTATTGTGAAAAGCAAGATAAAGAAAGGAGTTTTTTGAAAAGAAGAATACCTGGGATTGGACGACCTCTCTCGAATAAAAGGGGGGAAAAGGGGAAAATGATTCTGCATCACTTGAGAAAAAAAGAGCGAAAAGTGGCAACATGGCTGCAAGGGAAGTTTAAAACAACGAAAAGGTCAAGGTGTTCAGTCTGGGCTGCCTGTTTGATAAAAGGAGGGAAAACCAATGGTTTTGATCCAATGGACCAAAACGACGTAGTTTAATTTGGAATTCAAAATGAGGAAATTAACCTGCAATGTAGCGAATTCCATGATTGGCGAGTGGAGACAGTGCGAAGTCCAGTTTGATCACAGCCAATGAAATCATAAAATCAAGCGTCGAGATTATCGAGCTATAAAGGATGATATTTGCAAGCTTAACATCGAGTTACATGTTAGTCATAAAGGTAAAATCATGTTCGGTGCATTGGATTCAAAGTTTTGGACGATATATGGAAAAACGAGTAGTGTAGATTAAAATGGGCATAACTTTTAGCTTGGGTGTTGGATTTTCGCCGATGAGTATAATCTAGAATCCTCACAAAATTCTGCATGAAGAGGAGGCGTATTCAAAAATTAAACCATGCGACCACATAGGCTATTTTCGAGACAAAATTGAAGCTGACTATTTGTTCTATGCGACTGCATTGATTTATACTATACGACCGCATAGTTCAACTTCTGGATGCGATTTTCCAAATTTCGGGAGGTGTTTTATTTATGGTAGAATTCTATTTATTTGACATCTTTGTAATCTTTTAGATTAATTTCCGTCCTTAATTAGTTTTTCTAGGTTTTTCATATAAATAGGAGTTATTATTTCAATTGTAACAAGACATTTCATATGAATAAAAATTGAGGTTTTCTCATGAAGTTTTGTTTCAATTTTCCTTGTTTTTCAATGGAAAAATTATCGAACTTATCAATGGATTAATTTTCTTGTGGCATTCAAAACCATTGGGTGCGAATTACAGCACGTGTAATTAGGGGTTT